GATGGGCGAGATACTGAAGAGAGATGGGACGGGAATGCGGGATTGATGGATTGATGCCCTGCGGCTTTCGGTTTGCCAGCCCAGCCAGCCAGCCATGCCGACTGATATGCGACATGCCATGCCACCTCACACACAGGCACACTGATAACCTGCAAGTTGACGAGGAAAGGTGACGGGCGGCAGAAGAAACATTTTTCTTTTTGGGCCAGTGAAATGGTGCCGTGTCCCACCTCAGATCATCCAATCCATCCGGACCAAGCTCCATCTGGAATGGGCATCCATCGACATCCGCACCCACATCTGGACCCTTGGGTTTCGAAAGAGGAGAAAGGGAAAGGGAAAAAAAGAACAAGTGGGATCAATGGGAGGACATGGGACAGCATCATCTCCAGCCGGGTCCATGGAAACGGGAAGACAAAGGGGGAGAGGAGGGGAGAGGAAGCGGAAGGGGAAGGGGAAGGGGAAGGGAAGGGGAAGGGGAAGGGAAGGGGGAACCGAGAAAGGAGGGAAAGCTCATCAACAACCGAACCACAAGGCCAAGCTCACTCCAGTCCCGGATCGTCAAGTGACATGGAACCTGGAAACTCCTCTTTCCCCTTCGCCCCTGCGAGACAAGCGAAAAGGTCCGGAGCCCCAGCTTCCACATTTTTTGGGAAACAACGAGGGAACGAAATCGGGGCCACTGCCGGTTCTTTCGTTCTTTCACAGCGTGTGTTAGTGAGGTGCACGAGCCACATGTCCCCGGGAAATGGGCTGCGGCGACGCCAGGGTAGCGGCTTCCAGGAGGTCACAGAGGCCCCCGGGTTGCAGGAGAGGTCAGGGAAGAATCAGCGAAATCACTCGGTCGCGCCAGGAGACCCCGCCTCCGTTATAAACACCCAATCTTCCCCCTCGAGCGCGACAGCCCGCCCACCTTCTCGTCTTTTGTTTCTCTGTCCACGATCCAACCTCAACTTTGCTCACACCAAATCCAGCGTTTTTACATCGCTCAATCGTTGCCCTTTCATCCAGTCGCATTTTCAGCAAAATATCCTCAGCTTTTAGCCCTAAACAACCCCATCCATCACCATGCCTCCCAAGAAGACTTCCGAGACCAAGGCCGCCGATGCCTCTGCCGCCGCTCCTGCTGCTCCCGCCGCCGCTCCCACTTCTGCTCCCAAGACCAAGAGCCCCAGCACCCATGGTTCTTACCAGGTAAGCTTCATTAGATGAGACTAGGAATGCTCTTTTGCTAACATGTTAATAGGACATGATCACCGACGCCATTGTTGCGGTATTTACCCCCGTTCATTTCTGTCATGGCGTGTTGTGCGTGGGCGCTTCCGGTCGGTGAGCAAAATGAGACAGCTGCTCTCATGATGCACCCAACCAAGAGTCACCCACACCACTCACTGCCTATTTGCTATGCCTCAGTGATGCTGATTCCTTCTTTTTGTCATGCTGCAGCTCAAGGACCGTACTGGATCTAGGTATGTGGGAATTTTCTCCTCACTCTTCCCATTTTTCACCAGGGCTGTGCCAAGCCACACCGCAAAGTTTGCGGGCCCTTCCCACGGTCGCACCGATCGTCACTTTATGTTTTCATGATGCGATGAAGGACCACAGCATGTTACTAACACACAACACAGCCGTCAAGCCCTCAAGAAGTATGTCCGCGCCAACAACACCCTCGGCAACGTCACCGATAAGATGTTCGACTCTCTCTTCAACAAGGCCTTGAAGAACGGTGTCGACAAGGGTATCTTCGAGCAGCCCAAGGGTATGTCACCTCTCACCACATGAAGCATCCTCTTGTGTTACTCTTGCATGCTAACACTCAAGATAGGTCCTTCCGGTGGCACCAAGCTCGCTAAGAAGGTCGCTAAGCCTGCTCCCAAGAAGGCTGAGGCCAAGAAGGAGGGTGCTAAGAAGGAGACCAAGGAGAAGAAGCCCGCTGCTAAGAAGGAGGGCGCCGCCAAGAAGGAGACCAAGGAGAAGAAGGCTCCTGCTGCCAAGAAGGCCGCTGCCCCCAAGAAGGCTGCCGCTCCCAAGAAGGAAGCCAAGGAGAAGAAGGCCGCCGCCCCCAAGAAGAAGGCCGCTGCTCCTGCCGTTGCCGACAAGGAGACCGTCCTCACCAAGACCAAGTCCGGCCGTGTCGCCAAGAGCACCGCTAAGCCTGCCGCCGCCAAGAAGGCTGCTGCTCCCAAGAAGGCTTCCGCCAGCAAGAAGGCCGAGAAGGCCGAGCCTGCTGCTGAGAAGGCATAAACTCGTCCTCTGAGGATGAAGTTTCTGTCTCTTTTGCGCCTTGCTATCTTCTCATGATGTCTTTAGTCATTTTTTCACCACCACTTGCGACGTGACGGGTTTACTCGAAAGGCGTTTGGGGAATCATATTGCTTGGGAACACTATCAACATAAGGGGGGGTTCATTGGTCTACTAAACACGTTTTGCTCTTTTTCACAACATCGCCACAGCGCGCGGGGGGTAGCTTCTTGTTTCTGGCTTTCATGTATCTTGGATTCACACATCACTCATCGGGATTTGAGGAGGTTGGATCGTTTGTGCTGAAACACAACGGAGGGTTAGAAAGAGGCTGGCTGGTTTGGACTACACACCTATTGGATGATTGGGAAATGGGAAACGGGGGACCGGCGGCTTCGAGGGTGTCAAAGAAGCGAAGGACATACACACCAAAAGCCTTTTTTGAATACTGCATTGCATATATAATCCGCCTTGGAACGATACCACTTTTTATTTCAAAATACCCTGAGCAAGCGCTTTGCCCTTTTGATATTGATATGGTTACCTGGGCGGATTTTGCAGTGCGGTGCTAAAAAAGTGCGAGGATTTGGTTCGCGATGAATACGAAAGTTTGGAGCGAAGGACCTTGAAGCGATGATCTGGCGGTCTAGACATTGAAAACTTGCACTATATCTATACTATGCCACAAATCGGTTACCGTTTCGCTATAACCGATTGAATCTGCAAATTCCTTTTTTATGATGACATTGCAACAATTTTAGCGAGTTTTGTGGGGTGCGGTGTGAAACCGATTGCAAAAACGAAGAGTTGGCTGGAACGAGCACAACGGGGTCGGGCTGGCTGGTGGGCGGGGGGGGACGCGATGGTTGCTGCGGAGGCGCCGCCGCGCTTCGCTCGCTCCTCGCCTCCTCTGCTCAAGGGTTTGTTTTGTTTACAATTTGATGCCCTGACTTTTAGGCCGGCAAAACACAGCCACCAAAAAGCATGATACATGTGATTTAAGATAAGACAACTTTGAAACTGGCTATCATTTGGACAGACCACCAGTCCGGTCTAGTACACTGGCTTCTGTGATCAATAGCGGATGATAAGAGAGACAACCTAACTGAGCAGACCGTCCGGTCTCTTCACCCTCGTCTTACCAACATTGACCCAACCAAACTGTGCAAAAGTCTTTCGACGCTCCCTCTGAAAAGATATACAGAAGAAGGAACGTCGGGTCGCGGTAGGATTCAATTTGAAAGCTACAGACAGACCATACTAGGCATTCAAAGTGTAAACTGTGCCTCCCGCATGCGGTCAAAAGGATTCTTGCTCGAATCCGTCGGACAATGGCAAAGAACTGTCCGGGTTTCGAGGCCGGGTTCGAGGCCGGGTAAAAGAGAAAGAGGTGAAGAAAGGTGTTCACCGTTCGCTTCCACTTTGGCTTTGAGGTCATCGGTCAAGCCATGCAATGCAATGTCTCTTTAACCACTGAGCTATGTACTGAGCAGAGAGCAGAGAGCTTACCTAAACCCACTACCCAGAGGCACCGTTGTTACCTCACAGCGCAGATGCATGATGCGGTATGTACTGTAGCTATGATTAAGAAAAGCTATCGAAGATCTGACTGGTTGTATGCAGGTGGAAGAGCTTCGAGGTTTCAAGGTTTCAAGTTTCAAAACAACAATTAACGTCTCGGGTCTTCAGCGGGAGCCAACCATTTGATAGGGTAAGGAGCTTCCCGGAGCGAGAATAGGGACAAGCTTTAGAGCCAATGGTTCCATGACCTAGCTTTGCCCTGAGCTTTGAGGGAAGCAGGGAAGCTACACTGGAAGTAGTTAAAACAAGGCCAGTCGGAACTCGGAAGGCGAGGAGTGAATTTCTCTGGTGAGACTGCAAACTGACGGGAACTGAAGTGGATGACGAAGAGTTGGTGATTCGGAGTAAGAGACGATGATGAATTGTTCCCGAGTTCGCATTGTTGTTGTCATTCTGCCGGGCTCCACCGGTTACCTTGCTCGGCTTTCATTGCGTGCAGGGCAAGCAGAAGCAACAGAGGTACCGGGCTGCTGCATCGAGCTTATCCGCGGCGCCCAGTCTTTCTTATCCAAGCCGCAGTGTGCTTGCTTCCATTGCTGCTGCCTTGGCACTCCCAGTCTCGAAGCTCCCTCTGTTGCTCGCTGTTGATTGACAGTTGACTTCTGACTGATCGCCAACCGCCCGCATTCCGCAATCGATTCTGTTCCACTTTCACGGCATCCCGCACGACGCATCACCCACTCACAACAACCGGACCACGCCGCGCAATCATTACGTTTTGACGGCACTGCGAAAGACACGGACGACACCAACAACAACAACAACAACGACGACGGCCAGGCAGCCAGCCCAATTAACATTTCGCTTAATCGCAGCGCCCTCCAGGCCCCAAAAAAAGTTCCAAATCTAGAGCTGGCTGTGCCTCGTCCCCGCAACCACCTCCCGAGCTTACCGGTTTTTCTGATTACACCTCGACCTCCATATTGGCCATCCATTGCTCGGCCACTCTCTGAAGAAACATTTCAGCTCCGGTGCCAATACAGAGCTGCTTCCATTGAGAAACTGGAATGCAAAGGATAGCCGCCAGATGACCATGGGTTGCTAGCACCCTGCCTCTCAAGCAAGCAACCAAGCAAGCAAGCATACCTAGCATACTGTATCAGTTCATACCAATCGTCCACGCGCCCACGACCTGTCGGCAAACTTGACCAACCACGGACAATAAAAGACAAACGCAATGGCCCAACCGTCGTCCCTAAACACTAACAATCCGTTTCGGCGGAAACAAGCCGGCGCATCGACTACCTCTACTCCGATCTCGAACCTTCCCAATCCGCTAGCCTCTGACGCATTCGCCGATGCCTTCGACCCTCTTCCTACGTCCTCTTCATCTTCGCTAGACCCCACACGACCGGCACTCCCGTCTAGCGATGACTTCCGCAACTCTCTCCAGTCTCTTGGACAGTCCAATGAACCACCGCCAAAGACAAGCTTCCAGAAACCAAAGGTCGTGAAAAAGGTCCGCGTACAGTCACCACCGCCATCTCCCGAGTCAGAGGAAGAACCCAATACATATCCGCCAGCGGAGAGAGATACGACCGAAAGCAGTTCAAGTGATGAAGAAGAAGATGGAGGCGCGGATCCGTTTTCCCAGGCTGGTGAAGTCTTTCCGCCACAAGTGTCACAGCCAGAACTACCAGGCTCCGGCCGGGTGCCCCCAAACCCGTTTGGAAGGACATTGGAGGACCTAGAACACCCAAAGAATGAGTCAACACAGAGTCCCGGTGCGGTACCAGGAGCGAAGGGCTCGCTGGATGTTGATTCCTTTCGAAGGCTCCTTCTTACAGGCCAAGCGGGAGGACCGGTGCAACCACCACGAACTGATGGCGCGAGCATGACTGATGCTTCATCAACTTTGACTGCCCAAGACACGCCCCGGACATCTCACGAGATTTCGGAGCACGAAAGAGAAGAGTCACAGTCACAGCGAACACCGGTGGGCGGTCCCGTACGCCCCACGATTCATACGCCAGCTACGTCGAGGAGTAAAGCGCCGCCACCACCGCCTAGCTCAAGACACGGGAAGTTGATCAAAGTGGAGCTTAAGGGCGAGGAGAGATCAGGGACACCGGGTACTCCGAGGCCTGCCTCGTCATCCGCCCGCGCATCCCAGATTCTGGCTTCGCCGTTTTCGGAGCAGACTTCGGACGTGAACAAACCGTTGCCACCGCCACCAGTCAGGTCTCCAGGTGAGGAAGACTTGGAAAGTCCATTCGACCGCGAAGCCGCTGGTAAACTTCCAGAGGTAGACCAAGGGGCCAACGCCTACACTGCCCGACCGCCAACTCCGCCCAAGCCAACAACAGCCACACCGCCTCCGTCACAAGCATCAAGAAAGCCGCCTCCTCCACCCAGGCGATCGACCCATGGCCGTTCAGAAAGTAAGGTGTCTGCTCCTGGGTCTGTGTCGACACCCGTGGCAACACCACAGGCGTCTCGTCTAGAGGAGGAACCCACCCGCAGTTCTGTAGACTCGATTTGCTCGAGGTCGTCGAGCCTGAAGGTTACAAGTTCTACCACTCATGTGAATGCACCGGCACCGCCTCCGCCGAGAAGGTCGACACATGGGCCCAGAGCTTCAACTTCCACGGCAGGATTGGGAATGGGCATTAGTTCGCCTGCAGCCGTGTCTGCTGGAGGCGAGGGTACAGAATTCCCCGGTCTGACAACTCAACCAGTTTCCGGATCAGCGCAGAGTAGCCGGCCTAGCACCCCCGCCAATTCCCATGCCAACAACTCCGAAGCCGCCAGTATCAGCAGTTTCAGTCAGCCCGGACATGGTAGGACCTTCAGCGGAAGCGGCAGACTAGCACCTCCTCCACCTCCCCCAGCGAGAAACAAATCAGTCCGGTCAGGCACCCCTTCCACGTCGGGTGGTACTGTGCGCAGAGTAGACAGCGGGAGGAGTAAGGAACATCCAATCGGACTGGCGTCCCCGGCACCAATTGCCCCGAGTCCGAATCACGCTCCGCCACCGCCACCCAGGCCAAGACCAAGGGGAAGTAACAGGCGATCGGTCTCGGGGAGCGGGAGTGTCGATAGCGGTAATCCTGCGCTTGGTACAGGGACTGTCGAATCACCCGTGCCTGTTCATCCTCCGCCTGCTGTCCCGGCGTCCGGGCTGGGTGGTGCTGGTGCGCGGTTCCTGGAAGCATCGCTGGCATTAGGTGATGAGCCGAGAAGTATTCCAGATGGGGGGCTTGCGAGTGCGGACGTTAATTTGGACGAAGAAGACGTGATCAGAAGGGAGTCGGCAGCTAAGGATATCCTGGCCGATTTGGATGCGTTGCAGAGGGAGGTTGATGCTTTAAGGGCCGCGCAGGAGCAGGAGAGGGCTTAACTTTGGGAATGCCTCGAGGATGCAGGTATAGGCACAGACATTGGATCAAATCTTGAAAGGAAGAAGGAGAAGAGAAGACAGACAGACAGGAATGGGAAGATAGAGCCAATAATGGCACTACATTGCACTGGCCGGGGTGGACCGGAAACAGGACGGTCTTGATGCAGTTCTTGATACGGGCTTCATATACTTATACACTAAAGAGCGAGAGATTTGAAGAAGCAGAGGACGCAGGCGATGATATAGTAAGCTACACTTCACTTCACTTCACACAGGGGATAAAGGGCGGAGATTATTTTGTACATAGCAAGCATTGTGAATTTCTGGAATTTGTATGTGGGATTTGATATTTGGCATATGGAATTTGTCCTTCAATCTCCCTGAAACTGAAAGCACGGGTGTCAACAACCTGGATCACTTCATCGCAAATCCTCCCGCAACGCCCACGGTTTTCGTGTGGAGAATATGTACATGGTCTCCAGTCAGCTAAAACATCGAAAGCCCGATTAGCTCAGCTGGTTAGAGCGTCGTACTAATATCTTGTCTTTGAGATATCAAGTCCATGCGAAGGTCAACAGTTCAATCCTGTTATTTTTCTTACTCTTTACACAATACAGTAAGTAAGTACTTCTCTTATCTTGCTACCTAGTTCATGTGATCGAATCATACGGGGAAATAACTAAAAGAATCGAAGAAAAGAGAGAAAATAAAACCAGTACGATTAAATCCCAACTTCGAGATCCGTTTATTTTACCATCACATCTCTCATTCCACTTCTTAAACTACTGAACAGGCACAACAACCCGATCAACATCCGGCCCCCAACCTCCTCCCTCCCATCCGCTCACCACAATCGTGTTTCCACTCCCCTGCCTCAGTCCCTTAACCACCACACTACTAACCCTAACCTCACCCGCCGTGCCTTCAAACGCCACTTTCACCTTCTCCCCGCCATTAACACTAACACCCGCGTACCTAGGCCCGGTATCGCCGTTGACATACCTAATCTGCAACGTCGTCACCCCGCCTTCTCCCCCATTCATATTACTCTGAACATTCGAGATGGTGATACTCCCGTTCGTACCACCAGTGCCACTGCCACTGCCGCCGATATACCCCGCCGCCTTTCCCTCCGAACACTTTCCGCAAGAAACTTCCTTCGCTCCCCCTGCGTAACTGCCTTTTTCTCCTTCATAGCTCGTTTCAGCTGGACTAGTTTGCCATGTCCCTCCTCCTCCTGTTTGTGAAGAAGAAGCATTAGGTACCCAACTCCCCCGATTCTTCATCGTCACCTTCGTCCCGCTGATCTCCAGCGGCAACCAGATATAGCTGCTCGTCCGCAAATTTTTAGAGCGCCAACGGTCACCCATGTACATCACCTTTTTTCCGTCGTTTCCGTCGCCATAGTTCAAGACATAAGTAGTCTGTGAAGCGTACGTGTTACTTCCCTTGTCGGCGAAAATCTGCCAATCGGACCAGGGCCCCGCGAGAGAAGTGGCGGTGGCGTAGACGTTATCGTTGGGGTCCCACCCCGTCAAGTGGGAGCCGAACATGTAATACCGGTTGGAAAGCTTGAGGAGGGCGGGGGATTCGATTGCTTGTGGGAAGAGGTGCGTTGAGGTGCTGCCTGAGAGGGAGAGGTAATCGGGGGAAAGGGGGTTGATGCGGAGGCCGTTTTTACGCTGGGTGGTGGAAGCGGTTAGTGGTGGCGGTTATGGTGATGAAAAGGGGGAGGAAGAAGGTACGTACGTCCTCAGTAAGTAAGTACCCCTTCCCATCATCATCCTTAAAAAGTCCCATATCCCTCGACTCGAACCCCAACGGTCTAAACGAGTTGACGTAGTTATACTTGCCGCAGACAGTATCGCTCGTCGCCACTCCGACTTTTGCATCCCCATAATTGCTGCTATCCACATGCATCCACATCACAAACTTCTTTGTCTGGTTATTATAGATGACCTTGGGTCGTTCAATAATCCTGTTCGGCCCCAGGTCGCCTGATGAACTAGTGCGGGAGAGTAAGGCGCCTTCGTACTTCCATTGCACTAGGTCGACAGATGAATAACAGTTCACCCCGAAAAAGGAGGAGCCTTGGGATTTGTCTTCGCCGATTAGGTAGAAGGTCGAGTTGACGCGGATTACCCCGGCGCCGTGGGCGTTGAGGTGGTCGCCGTTTGACTTTTGGGGTGACAGTTAGTATGGTATGGAGTTTTACTTGGACAATTAAAGAGAAGGAAAGGGGAGAGGGAGAGCGGGATGAAAAGGTTCGGCTTACGGCCGTCCAAGTTCCTCCAGGAACGATTTGTAGCGCGGCGAGCGCTGTTGATGTAGCTAGGCCTAGGACTGAGACTAAGCTCAGAAGCCGGTGGTGATGCATTGTTTTTTTCGGTCACCTTCACCTTTCCACGTGAGAACGAGCGATCAATCTCTCACCAGCGCTGTCTTTGACGGGATACCCGTCGTTTTATGCCCCTTAAGCCCCATCTCCGTTTTGGTTACAGTCCCCGGAAGCTGTGCTCATGATCACCCAAGTTTGGCATTAAACCCAGTGTCAACGTCCCATCAAGCAACCTTGACTCCGAAGTTTCAAATTCCCCAATTCGTGGGGAATCATTTTTGCCTGTTTGTTCCGTCGTTCCCGTCGATCTGAACCCCAATACGACATGAAAAGCCGGTAGGCGAGTTGGGTTCGTTTATGCGCACCTATTAGGGTGTTTCTTGTATATTAGCGGGCTTGAATTATACCTGTCATGGGCTCCTGTACCGAGGGAGCAACGGATTCCAGATGAGGAGCGACGGTATACTCTCGCCCGACAAAACGTTGATGTTTTTGGTGTGCCTACATTAGGCGCTGGGTGAGTTAAAGCTGATGGGATCCATCCAATCTCGATATACCGATGCGATGGAGGGAAGGTTTGAACAAGGCATTTCGATCGGAAGGATCATTCGGTCAGATTGCCATCTGTCATCAGTCATTCGCCTGTCAAACACGGGCATCCGAGACTTCAGTCGTTGAATCCTTCAATCCTTTACCGAACGGTCTCTCACGGTCTCGCCCCACTCGGAGCCGGAGTTAGAGTTAGGTGCAGTCAAAACCGGCCGGCGGCCCACTCTCAACAACAATGTCAATGTCAATGTCATACTTCCATTCGTCAAGTCGCTCCTTTGCCTTTTCTTTTTATTCCCACTGACGGGGCCTAGAATGCTGCCGGGAACACGGCGTTAATTAATAACCGCCCGCGACCGCGAATGTGGAACGGAGATATCCCGCCTTTCCGCCTCTGCACATCTGCACCCTTCTCCCTCTTCCGGGACGCGAGGGGGCATTGAAGATGGTTGCAACACGGCGGCGCTCACCCTTGATGGGTAGACAGGTAGCAGTGGAAGAATTGTGGTAAGACGTAAAACCCTCCGTGTTGCGCTGGGTGTACCTACCGGACCGGTTCGGTGTGTTGTTACACTTGAATTGCACACTTTCACCGATTTGGTAGTTGATTGGTTCAAATTGGTCGGTGGCTTGGTGTTGTGGTGTAAGTTAGAGTGAGGGTTAGGGTAGTGTATGGTGTTTACATCATGATGCTTCTTCCGTGACCGTCATATGCCCGTGATGGGAATAACCGTGCTCCCGTACCAATCCCGTGTTCTGTGCAGTGCGCAGAGCATGCGCAGAGCATGCGTGTGCGTATTGCGTATTACTTGGGATGAGGTCAAGATGGGGAAACTGGATGTTTCACTTTGGACCGAAGCGGAAATTGAAGAAAGTGAAAAGGTCGATTTCCTGGTAAAAGATGGAGATGATGTTGGTTCATTGTCAAAGGGAAGTTTGAGTGCCAGCAACGGTTTAAGACCGACATCGCAGCAGACACTTGACAGGCATCACATCCCTTGCGGTACAAGTGGACAGTAAGCCCAACCAGAACGCTTCCCGTCACCGGCTGAGACATGTCTCGGTGTTTTCTCAATGTCGATACCTAACGATTGACGTGGGATTTTAACAGTCCTTGCGTCAATTGCATCATCTTCGTGTCTTGTAGTTCTATCGCCGTGCGCATGTTGTTGTTTTTTGTTCGTATAAAACCGAATCGTATCTGGTCTCTTAACGAGGTCAATTCTATTCCATAACCATCCCTTCCATGTCCAGTAACCATCAGGGGTTTTACAAAATTCATCCTTCCCGTCGGTTGAAAAAGCAAATGGAAGGATTGACGGAACGGGATGGATGCGTGCAATTGCCGATTCCAGTATCCGGGATTGAATGGTCAGGTCTGCTGGCACACAGCTTGTGAGGACGCCCATTCGTTTATTCGTTGCGCGCACCCTTTGGGAACTGGGCTTTGTCGTTCGGGCTGTTGTGCGACAAGCCACTGCATCATTGCACAGGTATTGCTGTATTTTGGCTTGGAGGCTTGGAGAAGAGAGAGAAACCGAGCGTTTAGTAATCGTAACGGGTAGAGAAGTGTATGTTGCCGAGGTCGGTGTCGGTTGGTATTACACCGGGAGTTTAGTGTCTTTCGGGGAGTCGAACCAACATGCAAAACGAATAGACTGGTCATTTCTCATACTATACTCGGGAGAGTCCTTTGAGTTATTTGTTGGTTGTAGAGATGTTCTTCCACTCTTATCAACCTCGAATTCCTTTGTCATGCAGTGAATCCGTCTGCATTCAGAATTACATACAGACACTGTAAAGTTGCCGAAGTGTCGGCCGAGGACAATTCAGAAGGAATCGCCAATCACCATCTTGGCGTCCACAATGGTGAAATCCACTTTTCTCAGTTTAGCGTTGGGTCCAGGGTTGCCTTGGCCCCGGCCTATCTCCATTCATGATTGGGCAGTTGGGCTCCATCGCCCATGTGTTCGTCTTTCTGGGACCCACCGAGCCCATGATGCAAGAATCCACACCTCCGTGTTCTCCATCTCTTTTCCGCTCTCCACTCCCGCTTTTCTGTTTCCATGTGCAGTGGATTGGATGTCCCTTGTTGTTGGATCTGGATCTGAGTGTGAGAAAGAGGAGACGACACTCATCATTCTCATCAGCCTCGGACCCGATATTGTGATTACAGACACGCCGCCAAAAAGAAGGGAAAACAGACCCGGAGTGTTTGTGTCCAGTCTGCAAAGAGCATGTCCTAGGAGCAATAACCTTTACCTATGCCTTCACGCCTTTCAGTATATTAGGGACAGTCCAATAACATGTCATGTCACAGGGCGCGGCGATAACACAACAGTGTAAAATGACCAAAACAGCAATCCAAGCCAAGACCGCCGCCGCCAAAGACTTCTTTTCTTCGACTCTTCCCGAGTAGGAAAGGTGTGAATGACACCCTTGATTGCCGCAAACGGCTGGCCGAGGCTCCCCCCCCTCCCCGGCTGCCCGTCCCCGTTGCTCATCCCCGTTCCCACTTCCCCCCCCCCCCCCCCCC